GATTTTTAATGAGAAAGAGGTTTTTCAGGCAAGGTAAATCAAAGATAAAAATATAAGAAAACATATGGAATTCTATATGATCTGTTGGTGCTTTATACATCCAGTGATAAGAATTTTGGACATCCTTATCTCAACTCTACAGAGCATATGTGTTATTCAAGTTTTAAATGGAACTTGCAAACATACTTGTATTTCTTCTGAAACCACGACTGAGCTCATCACAAAAAAAGTTGAATCGGCAAAGGAAATTGCCAAGATGCTGGCATTCATTTCCTAACCTGCACTAGAAATGGGAGCCATCATCCGATTGATTTTTCTATGCAACAGACCTTGGATTGGCTATAAATGAGCTCAGCTAAGCTAATACAATAATCTCATGTTGTAGATAATAAACAACTTTATAAACTATCACACTAAGGGTATGCACACAATTGTGTGAGCATGCCTGAACACACCATAACCACATTACAGGGCACTTCTCAATTATCCCTGGAACTGCAATGTTTTGCCTAGTCTCAGATACAGGACGGCACCAACACTAAACCTGGATTTGCTAGTGATGCATTCTGTGAATATGTATAAACCTTGTGGCCCTAATGTTAAAAACAGGGATGTGTCCTGCAAAGTAGCTGTGGTGTATTTGCTGCGACAGTAAAAGCGACAGGGAAAAAACCCACCTCTGTATGTTCTGAATATATTTTATAGGGAAGAGTATATGGGGGAAAAAAAAAAAAGCAAAGCAGCGGTTTTCTTAAATGGTAAATAAAAGAAACAAAATCAGAAGAGAAAGATATCACATATGAAATGTAAGTGTAAGAAGTAAAAGTGTCACAGTTTTAATCTCCTTTATCACCAAAATACCATTCTCTGAATGAACCCTTGTACTGAATGATATAAGATGAATGTATTCTCAAGAGGGGTTAAATCATGCTAATGTGGCCGCTGCTAGGGTTATTAGGATGAAAGCCTCTTCCTAAATACCTTTGGAGATGTCCGCACCTTGGATGCCCGGGTTGATGAAGTGCTTCCAATCTCCCACCTCTAGCATTCCTCCTATGTGACTCTGCTCAGGGAACTGAATGTGTTTAATGGGGGAACTTGTTTTTGTGTGAGATTTGTAAGGGAGAGCAAGCTGTGATAGAAGACTTAGCTTTTTGGAATGGTTAAGATGATTGTTTGTTTCTAAAGGAACAAAGCAAACACACCAATTAACACCACAAAACATGCAAAATCACATCACAGTTATTTTGTCTTCCAGCAAAGTGCATATTTAATAATCAAACTTTATGTCTTTATTATACTGCTGCATGCCTGAGGCACTCTTTTCTGGGTTTGCGTTATCACTCACTGGAAGACAAAACTGAAAAAGACTACAGGCTGTAGAAAGTTTATTTCCCAGGAAAAAGTGCCAAAAGTGCTTGTGTCCCTAATAGATCCTTGCTGCTTCTGGTGTGACCAGCAGTGCCCAATCATAGTGGCGTCTTGGCAAAGAAAAGGTTCCCAGGCCTCACAGACTAATAAAAAACATGAACGAACATTAAATGTCTGAAGTTGTAGCAGAAAACTTCCATACTTGGAATGTTAGATGCAATCTCTTGAACATATGGAACTTTATTCTGTCTTGCATAGCATTTCAACACAACAGTGGTGCAGATACACAGCATCACTCTTGTTCTGATAACAAGATCAAAAGAATGTTCAGTGGGCCTTGCCTCCAAAATTTAGCGACACTGGTCCCAGAAAACAAATTATTTTACAGGGTTACAAGTAACTTACCACATCACTATAATGATAAAGGGAAGCTGTCATCAAAGAGCTCTGCCACTGAATTTACCTCCTTTGTCAGTCTATGTAATTGCAAAGGGATCTCTGACTTTAACAGCAGACCCCAATGTAGTACAATTCAAGCATACATCCAATCAGAATTTTGTTTTCATATTTAGATCAAGTGAGGAAAGGTTAGTGTAAGGGAAGCTCATAACCCGTCAGGTGTTTACTGCTATGTGAGATCAGTTAGAGAGATACTCCTTTGTTGTGTCTCCTGGTGACAATGGTTTTGCCGGATAGATAGTGAAGGTAAATATATAACAGGGACACAGACAGTAATAAAAAGCTGACAGAAAATCCCTGTCTGGTGAAACTGCTGTCACTGAGATAGTGAGTGAGAGGGGATCTCTCTAACAGAGCTCCAGACCACAGTAAAAACTTGACAATACATCAAACCTCACCACACAGACTTGTTGATAACCCCTTGGTGGGGGGTGGGTGTACCACTAAATGGCGGTGCCATCAAAGTCCAAAATAAGAAAATGCCTGCATGACAGCTATAGATCCTGATGAAAGGATTACTGAAGTCCCATATCAGCAAGAAAGCTACATCAGGATTTCAAGGACACGGTGGCCCTCTTTATCAAGATGAGAAGCAGAGACATCTGTGCTTGTCACCTAGAAAAAAAGATGGGCCACCATGCCCTCAAAACATTGGTGTATCTTTCTTGCTGATTTGGGACTTCAGAAAAGCTTTCATTAGGATCTGCAACTAGTGTGCTGCTGTTCCTTTCTTATATTAATAAAAACCTGCAAGGTGTCCTAATCCTTCTAAAAAAAAAAAAATTACACTTAAAGGAATCCAGTTTAAGTATCTCTGCTTGGCAATAGGAGTGATCTAGAAGATACAAGACATAATTAGGAATGACCCTTGAACCATGAAATTCTCCATCTTGACCATTTGCTTGTTCAATAGATATATTTATGCCACAAAAGTCAGAGGCAGCCAATACAAAGGCAGATTATAGGTAAAGAAGTTCTAAAAAGATATTTCTCTACAGATAATCTACACACTTGTATTCATTTTTTATTACAAGCAAATGCATTTTAAGTTTAAATATTATAGCCCCATAAAAGCACCATATTTAAATATAATCATTCAAGGCACAGATATATCATTAATCTACACAGAAAATGCTTTTGTCATCACATTTATTACCCGGTTAATTTGGTAAAAAGTAAAACCAGGATGAGCAACCGGAGGCAGTATGTTAGCTAGTTTACATAGGGCTCCATTTATCAAAGTGCTCTACATAAGAACTGTCTGCATTTTCCAACAGTACCTAAACATATAACATGCAATGGAAAAAGACAAATGGAGAATGAATGAGTGAATCCAGCTAGTTTTTCTAAAATCATAGAGACAATTCTTATGTAAGGGGCAGTGATAAACGAGGTCAAAATTGGACTGAACAGTCCACTAATAATAAGCCTTTAAAACAAGAACTTGGCTGTGTGTTAACTAAGCTAGAGAAAGTAGGTTGGAACAAAACTACTACAACTTAATATTGCTGATGCTCTAGTCAACAGTCCTACAAAAACAGCCCTATATACTTATATAGTTGAGCTGTGCTACCATATATCCCCAGTACTTGGGGAATTTTGATATAGAAGAAGGTATTGGGAAATCCATTTCTAAATTGGAAAACTCCTTTAAACAGAAATGAATAAATATGGAGGTTTTCTTTGCTGGTAGCTTCCCTTTAATTCCAAATTCTACCCACCAATAAAAGGCATGCAGTGTATTTGGAAGTGACAGACAGAGACACACACAAAAACAGGAAAAAGAAGGAATGTAGAAGTTCAACATGGCTCCTAGTTGGAACTGTATGCTGGATTGTATGCGCAATGGCAGTGCAGTTATGTTAGTGACTGTAAGTGAATTTCAAGGACTACAACAAGCTAAAACACGTTACACAAGGACCACATTAAACAGGGAACCAGAAGGTACAGAGACAACGTTTACATATATTTGCTTGTTAATGGAAATACAAAAATGTATACATATAGGTTTCAAACATCAACCAGAAAGGGACTAAGGAGAGCATACGATTTGCTAGTCTTCAAGACATGTTTAAAGCGAAGCCACCTGCTGTACAGTGCTATGGAACATGCTAGAACTTAATAAGTAGAAACTGGAATTTGTCTTAAAGAGGAAGCATGAAGCATTTAAGGAGCTGCCAAGCAGAAAACAGCACAGGTCACCATTTATAGACACCAGCCCAGACTGCTCTACCTCTGGAATAGTCGGTCAAGTCCCTGACTACAATAGGGGATCTGTCAGAATTTAAAGTGTTACTAAACCCATGACAGTAAAGTCAGTCTGTATATGCAGTAAAGCATGCGTGTTATACTCACTGTGGAACCTAAGGGGTTAATTCTCTGCACTGTGTAAAAAGGATGTTTGATCCTGACTTCTCTGATCCTTCCTTTCTTCCAGAGCCCCCCCTCTTATCTCCTGATAAGACAAATCGTGTGGAGGGACTCTGCACATGCTCAGTTTGGTGTGTGTTTTTCTTGGAAGAGTGCATGCGATCAGCACAGGGCCAATCAGCACTGTCCACACAGATGTCAGGGGTTCTACATCCTCCTAGAGCAGAAAGAAAACTCCTCTTACAAGCTTTAACCAGTGCTTGGCTGGACACTGATGGAAGACACAAGACTGCTCTAACTGCTGATGAGAAAAGGTATTTAGCAGTTTATATTTACTAAAATAATTGCATTTCCATGTTCTGTATACTGTGGGAGACCAGATATAGTGAGTGCAGGGTCCTGGGTTTAGTAACACTTTAATTTTGCATGTCATATAACAGGGTTATATCCACTGTACTCATTTTAATTTCCCTTTCTCCTGATTCACCTCTACAAAGATACCATTGTATGCCTCTCTGCTTGTTTGACACGGCAAGGTAGTCTGACAATTTTTGCACCAAAGAACACTACATTTCTGAACAAGCAGGGCAGCAGTGTAGAAGTGACTATCCAAGAACTGATATTATAATATTTTAGCTTCCATATAGTAAGAGTACCTACTGAATGTTTTAAAACTTAATTATATTAAACCAGGTTGGTTGTCTTAATGCATCCACCTAAATTCAATTTTTACATGAAGGCTGTTACAATATCTGTGACCTATTGGGCTATGAGTGGCACTGTGTCCTTGATCAGACCTGTTAGGCAACGAGGCACTTACTGTTGGCTATGTTTGAAGCCGTGTAACTGTCAGCCATTCCAGAGACCTGACTTGCAATGCTGATTTCACTTGCTCTTCTGTACCCCCTGAAGTGGGGAGCTGTTATGGGGGAGGAAGGGGAGGCATTTTCCACGAAGACTGCACCATGAAACTGAACAACATCCGCTATGAAACCGAAAACAAAAAAGAAAAAGAAAACAGGAAAACAGGGAGAAAAACAAACAAAACAAAAAAATGTAAATTAAAAGTTAACACCCAAACAGGACAAGAAAACAAGAATGCATTAGGAGGGATGAAGATGCCACAGCTCAGATGTGTACACTTTCAAGCATTAAGAAACACAAAATAAGATGCATTTAATTGCAAAACCTATACAAAGACAAGCAAATGAAATATAACCCGGTGTATTTCATTCCAATAATAGGAAAAAAAGAGGGTAATGCAAAGGGGAAAAAAATTCACATCAGGTTTCACACGGGGCTACAGAGCATTGCTGTACAATGTAATGCAGACCCTATCCGTGACGAACATATTTTTATATACATATATATGTACATGATACAGATATAGACACACACACAGACTTGTCTTTGTACACATATATACATATATAAACCTATGTATATGGGGGAACGTCATTAGTAAAAAATAAAACGGCCAGGGAAAGGATAGGAATATTTGGGGGGGGGGGGGGTATAGCCCTGAAAACTGAAACTTAAAGCAGGGAGGAAAATACATCGGTTTCATAGGCTTCATGATTTAAAAAAAAAACAATTAAATCCCCAAAGACAGATACTGAAAACAGTGGACTGAAACAACACACACTGTAAAGATTGGTCACTTGAGTACCTAAATTAAAATCCTGAGAGCAGAATCGCAGACACAAAGAACATCAAATTAACAATATTTATACCTCAAAAAAAATCCAAAGCTATCTTTTATTTCCTCTGTGATATTTATTGTGCATTATACAGAACCAGGAATATATATATATTACAGGTACTTATATAGCGCCGTCAATTTACGCAGCACTTTACATATATATTGTACATTCACATCAGTCTCTAACCCTCAAGGGGCGTACAATCTAAGGTCCCTAACTTACATTCATACATACACATACTAGGGCCAATTTAGACAGGATCCAATTAACCTACCAGCATGTCTTTAGAGTATGGGAGGAAACCAGAGTACCCGGTAGAAACCCACGCAGGCACAGGAAGAACTTGCAAACTCCAGGGCAGGAGGTGCCATGGCTGATATTCAAACCAACGACCCTAGTACTGCCAAGCGGAAGTGCTAAACATTTAGCCACTGTGCTGCCCCGTTATGTTGAGCCTGTGTTGATCTATGCAGGGTATGGTGTAAATGAGCCCTTAAAGGAAGAACATTTCAGATGTCTCACTCTGTAAATGCTGTATAATAATATATATACACCATGACAACATTAATCTGTCCCCATACATATTGTCAGCACAAGTTTCCACTGACCAAAAAAAAAAACAAAAAAACATAATCAGTATGATGGAACCTGTGTGTGCCAAAATGACTGGGGTGCTTGCTCATGAGCAATCTATACCTTTAAAAAAAGGCAAATTGTGGCAGTAGAGCCCAGGTAGTATCTGCCAAAAAGTGTCCTCCCAAAATAACAAAAACCACAAACACTGTAAAGGATAGGACACTGGAAGGCAAACTGGCTTAGTGCCTGCCTAGTAAGTGTTTAAAGAGTCTTGACGAGTGTTCATTTGTAAACCCTGTGCTTAACTACTGTTTTCAAATTCAAGTGGCAGCAGACCACTCTGGTGGAGATATAGAACAGTTATATGTGGAATACTACTTCCAAGACTTCTAGAACTCTTTACAAATAGTACAGATAATCCTTTTCCTCTTCTCCAGTGCTTCCATGCACCAGATAACAAGAAAGATCAAACAGGCATGCAAGTGACATTAATATCAATCTAAACATGTGATAGGGACACCACCTCCACATTGTGTAGAGGTCCATATATGATTAAATGAAATTTGACCAAAAATCAAAAATTATCCATATTGGTAATATCCAATATTTCTCAGCAATGTAAAAGGAGAATTACTCCAAAACCAGTTTTTTTTCTTATCAAAAGTAAGTCTTTAAAGACTAAAATAAAAGCCAGCAAATGAAGGTCTCACATAAAAAGGTTGTCTCCTCAGCTGAGCAGACAGCATGTACCCTCAGTATGTGTAGCTCTAGCCCAGGGGTGGGCAAACTTTTTGACTTGAGGGCCGCAATGGGTTCATATATTGGACCCGGGGGCCGGACCAAGAGTAGATGAATGATGTGTATGTGTCATCCATAGTAAGTATAGTAATATTCCCCCATAGTAAGCATAGTAATTAATCCCCCATATAGTAATTCATCCCCCATAGTAATTCATCCCCCATATAGTAATTCATCCCCCATATAGCAATTCGTCCCCCATATAGCAATTCGTCCCCCATATAGCAATTCATCCCCCATATAGTAATTCATCCCCCATATAGTAATTCATCCCCCACATAGTAATTCATCCCCCATATAGTAATTCATCCCCCATAGTAATTCATCCCCCACATAGTAATTCATCCCCCACATAGTAATTCATCCCCCACATAGTAATTCATCCCCCATATTAATTCATCCCCCATATAGTAAGTCCCCCATATAGTAAGTCCCCCATATAGTAATTCATTCCCCATATAGTAAGTCCCCCATATAGTAATTCATTCCCCATATAGTAAGTCCCCCATATAGTAATTCATTCCCCATATAGTAAGTCCCCCATATAGTAATTCATTCCCCATAAAGTAAGTCCCCCATATAGTAATTCATTCCCCATATAGTAAGTCCCCCATATAGTAATTCATTCCCCATAAAGTAAGTCCCCCATATAGTAATTCATTCCCCATAAAGTAAGTCCCCCATATAGTAAGTCCTCCATATAGTAATTCATTCCCCATATAGTAAGTCCCCCATATAGTAATTCATTCCCCATATAGTAAGACCCCCATATAGTAATTCATCCCCCATATAGTAAGTCCCCCATATAGTAATTCATTCCCCATATAGTAAGTCCCCCCTATAGTAATTCATTCCCCATATAGTAAGTCCTCCATATAGTAATTCATTCCCCATATAGTAAGTCCCCCATATAGTAATTCATTCCCCATATAGTAAGTCCCCCATATAGTAATTCATTCCCCATATAGTAAGTCCCCCCTGTGTCAATTCACTTACCTTTGCTCCTCCGCGCGTTCCTCTCGTATTCCCGCGCCGTTCTGGTCTTCAGGGAGGACTGTGAGAGAAGAGTTCGTCACGCCTGACAGCTGCAGAGTCCTGACGCCCGAGAGGAGGGAGGGGGCGGCCATCCTAGAGGGGGGGCGGCCATGCGAGAGGAGGGGGAGGGGAGAGGAGGAGAGGAGGTCGCCCGCCCGCCCGAGAGGAGGGAGGGGAGCGGGCGCCCGGCACACAGGAGAGCCGCATCTATTGTAAAGAGCCGCGGCTTGCCGACCACTGGCCTTGCGGGAGCCTAGCTCCGCGGGCCGGATTAAAAGGTCCGCCGGGCCGTATACGGCCCGCGGGCCGTAGTTTGCCCATTGCTGCTCTAGCCAGTGAGTTTTGTCCAAGTGGACACCTTCAGGGGCTTTCACAGCACTGACACTGTATACATTATAAAGATCAAATACCTCCCTTGACCCCCCTGGTTGTGTGTACCGCCTCCTACACTGAAGGTTTCATCTGTATGGAGAGATCATATGAATGTCAACATGGTTTTTCATTTATATATTCCCGGTTCTGTATAATGCATAATAGAAACCACTGAGACTATAAAGAAAGGCTTTGGATTTTTTGGAGGTGTTAATTTGATGTTTGTAGAGCCTGTGATTCTGGTCTAGTTTTTTTTTTTCTGACAGGTAATATTGGTCTTGGTTTAAATTTAGATTACTCAAATGCCAGCAAGCTCCGAATTTTATATGGGGACCTCGAGTTAGCATTTTTGCTTCTTATGAATGTTAAATCACTTGATGCAGCAGAAGGGACAAGACTTTTATGAAGGTCATACCTTACATTCCTCTGGGCAAACAACAGCTAACTATTCCTGTGCGGATAACATTTATATTCATTCATTTTCCTCATCAAAGCAACCGGATGCCATGCTCATGCCAATGCAAAATAAGGATTGAGGGGAGGTTCACTTTTGATGTAAACTATACCAATCTGTCTTTTCTAGTTCCCTAACCTACTACTCCCCTAACCTAAACTAACCCAGAAAACCTCACCTAAACTTACCCATAAACCAGTTGTGGCTTCCTTTAGGCCTCGGTCACACCATGTGCAGAGATGTGTGTTTTTCTGCATGCATTCTGCAAGGGCCAAAAGAAAATTGTTCTCTATGTGCCCAGTTCACACAACACTGGTATCACATGCAGGTTTTCTCTGCTCAGGAATCTGCAACATGTATAAAACTCACTGAAACTGATGTTTCTGCAATTGAAATCTGTGCATTTTTTCCATGAGCTTTTCTGTGGATATGGTGTGAACGAGGCGTTAATGCTTACCATCGCTGAACTGAAATAATCAGTGCAGAACATGCTTGCAAAGTAAGCCCCCCCAGGCTTAATTTGGACTCTATGCTGAGATTGGTGCATGGCCCAATTCAAGTCTAGAGGGGATGGGGAACTCTGAAGGAGGTTTGTGCCTGGATGATGTAAATAGCTGAGGAGGCCATAGCTGTCATGCTGAGGTAGGAGAGCAGCAGCATAGGGGTTTTCTAGTTTAGTTTAAGTTAGGAGGCTGAAGAGGATAGAGTACTGTAGTCTTTTGTCCATTTACTTTCCCCATCTCAAGGTGTTTCAAGGAGAAGTAATACTGTTATCATACTGAAATGAATGCTATCTCAATATGCACTTGTTAGCTTGTGCTAGCTGATCATTCAGGAAATCACCTCCATTCGTAGCATCACTTTCAATATACACATATAGCCATACAGTGTGATGATCCTGAAATCATTCCCATTATCCTAGTTTGTTTTGACTTGCAACACTTTCCCAGACAACTATTCATCTTCAAAAAAAATAGTATAAGTAGTCAGTTTAGATCAGGGGTCTCCAAACGTTTTAAACAAAGGGCCAGTTTATTGTCCTTCAGAGTTATGGGGGGGCCAGACTGTGGGCCCAATGTTATTATTGGGAGGAATCGTTACTGGTGTAATTTGGAGAAATGGTGCCCCATTGTTGGTGTCAGTTGTCAGAATAGTGTCTCGTATCAGCGGGAGGAATAGTGCCCCAAGGGCCAGATAAAGGCAAGCAAAGGGTCACATCCGGCCCCAGGGCCATAGTTTGGAGACCACTGGTAAGAAACCTTATATTACTATAGCATATTAAAGTGTTATTAAACCCACACAAGTAAAATCAGTCTGTATATGCAGTAAAGCACCCATGTTATACTCAATGTGGAACCTAAGGGGTTAATCTTCTGCACTGTGTAAAAAGGCTGTTTAATCCTGTCTTCTCTGATCCTCCCCTTCTTTTACTGTGCCCAATCTATCTGCCATAGTACAGAGCAGCAGTGGCAAGTCTGCATATGCTCTGTTTGGTGTGTATTGCTAGAGAAGTTGTTTTTGGGAGGGTGCATGTGATCGGCACAGGGCCAATAAGCACTGTTAGAAGAGGGGGTCAGGGGTCATGCAGCCTCATAGGACAGTCAGAGAAGAATGAAAACTCCTACAAGATTTACCAGTGCTTGGCTGGACACTGATAGAAGTCACAAAACTGCTATATACTTCTGATGAGAAAGAGTATTTAGCAGTTTACATTTACTAAAATAATGGCATTTCCATGTTGTGTGTACTGTGGGAGACTAGATATAGTGAATGCAGGATCCTGGGTTTAGTAACACTTTAAGTACATCAATGCCTTTTTGAAACAGAAGGTGTTATCCCTTTAATTAGAAATCCATACAACAATTATTCTTCAGTGGGCATGATTTAAATGAGAAATAAAAAAATCTGTATATGTAGTTGGAATAATGACCAAACAACAACAAAGTTCACTTTAAGATTTCTCTGAAAGCAGTTTCTTAGTGCAGCTTTTTGACATTAACTTGAAAAATTATAACACAGTTACATTTTGGAATAGTTAAAACACCTGAATATTAGAAAACAGGCAGTTTACAAGGGCCCAAGCATGTGTTCTTCTGAAGTATTCTTTCAAGCTCTTAAAGCATATTTAGAACGAAAGGAAAATGTAACATATTGTAGCTTACCAGTCCTTAGATGTGGTGGCTGCATTGGTTTTCTTTTTTCGGGCTTTATAATCCTTTATTTTTAGTTGGTGATCCTGCAAATAACACTTCCTGTGCCTACACTCATTTCTCCACTGTATCTATGGAAGAAGTCATGGTTGTCACACAGACTGGACTTCTAACATGTCTGCTTTTTTCATCTACATGGTAGTTGATGGGACTACTAGTTTACACAATAAAATAAGGATGTTTGTGCTTTTTTCAGCTCACAAGAAGTTACAAGGGCACTGCATTTTTGGCAGGATCAAAGATCTATTTACATATTTGCTGAAAATAATATGAATCTGAAAAACAGAAAATGAATGCAGCCACCATATCTAAGGACTGGTAAGCTGCAATAGATATTATATTTGTGGTTTTAGGTTTGGATATGCTTTAAATATTTTGCTCTCCATAAAGCAAACCCATCACTAGAGAAACATAGAAAGGATGCCTTTTCAGACAATGATGTCTGTCCATGATGATCATCTGTCTTCACTACTTTGAATCACTAACCCAAAACAAGTTTACAAAAAAGGACTTTTATCAGACTTTCTCTATTTACATACTTGTTCCAGGTCAGCGAGTCAGAAAGTAATGAAGCCAAAGAGTTAACAAAACAGCCAGATAACTACCATATATACAAAGAGCTCAGAAACGCTAATTCCCATATTTCTCCAATATTGAGTTTACTTTAAGCAGCCCCGTACAGTTATTGGCTTTTTTTATGATTCGAATTGTTGTGAGGTGCTGAAAAAACAAAGAGGATTTCCTGCTGCTCTAGTTATCTTGGACCAGCCAACCAACTTGATACCAGTTAACTTAGGCTGGCCATACATAATTCATTTTCTTTCTTTCAACCAGTGGGAATGATTAAATTCCCTCCCTTGGAGCTATTGTAATCTGACAACGAGCAGCTTCCCCACTGTCAAAAATACACTAATCAGCACCGCAGGTTATAGCCTGTGGCACTGATCTGATAAAGCAAAATGTTTCCAATAGGTCAGCTGTACAAAAGACGATCAAGAGATTGACTTCAGTACAACCAGTCTAGCCATAAATTGATCAAATTACATCTGGTCTCTACTGACCAGACAAATTTCCATACCACTTTGGCAGGCTTTACGAAGCCCAGTAAAGCACATGATAAAAAGAGGTCAATGCCTGATAAGTGGCTTTTTGGACTTTTTCAGATCTCCTATACATCAATGGTATACAAGGTATGGTTTACATAAAATGCTTCGGTTGGTAGGTTGCCTTGAGGTTGACAGGGTTTACACTGCATAAATACATACATTGTAATATAAAACAAAAATGTGCTAAAAAATGCAACCAACGCACATTACCCAGCGCTTATGGAAGAATGGTGAATACAACTAAGCTTGAGAGCTAGCTACTTTATGTTTAAAAACAATTGTCATGAATAGCAATCAATGTAACATTAATCACAGCAGCGCTCCACACTTTTAAAAGTTCATAGTCTTCCACCAATTGGTGATGAAAAGTGCACCAAATCCCAGTCAGTGAGAGGTTTTCCTCTGGGTCAAATACATCCACATCCCCTAAGGATACAACACTCAACGCAAGCAAATACCTGTCATATTAGGGATAGGCAAACAGCACTTTTATTCGATCATCCATTTAGGTGGATCCATGCAAAATCTTCTTTCCCCACAGCGATACTTTAAAACTCTAAAACCTCAAAATAAGTGAACAAAGCAACACACATAGCGTAATCCCACTTAACAAATTTATTGCTTGTTCATTCCCATTAAAATCTCAAACATAAAAAGAATGATCGCTTATCACAATCTCAATTCGTTAAATGTCAGACCTCTGCCATCACAGTAATGCATGCAGTATCTCACCACCTTGTTGATCCACGGATTGACAGTTACTTCCCTCACACTGTTTAGCCATGTCCCTAAAGTTTTGTCCTTACAACTTCTTCTGAGGGAATCTGAGGGATTGTATTCTGAGGGGATGTGGTTCACTGAACACAAAGATTGATTGATCTGTTACACTGATTAAAGGTGGAGGAGTGAAGCTGTGAGCTATTTGACCCAGAGGAAAACATCTCACTGAGTGTTTGGGATTTGGTGCACTTTTCATCACCAATTGGTAGAATACTACTTTTAAAAGTGTACAGCGCTGCTGTGATACATTGTAATATATTACCTTAAAACTCTTGTAGAAACCTCAAAACAATCTACTAAAACAGGGGTCCTGCAAACTACAGCCCATGGGGGTCTACAATGCTCTATGAAGTAGAAACCCTGATATCCTTTGCATTGCTAAGGGATATGGAGGTGGTGGGGATCACTCTCAGGCTGACAGGCTGGTGACCTGCAGCTTATCAAGGAAACAGGCATGGTTCCAGAAAAAGGTTAGCAGTATTCAGTGGCAACATGTTCATTGTAAGACTAATGGCTATAGTACATTTCAACCATTGAGTTATTAAGGAATAAATTAGGAACCAAGGCGGTACAAACCAGAAAATATATTAACGAGTTAGGATCCCTGTGAACTGAAATTAAAACATTAGACAGAGTCACAGCTTATAAAAGTACTCTGGTTTTGTAAGTAAACCATTCATGGAATGATAACAATAATTATTGTTTTAAAAATCGTAGTCAGAATGCTTACAGTATCTGAAGCTTAATTCATAATTTTACACATAGATAAATCAATACAAGGTAGGTAGCTATGTAGAAAAACAGATTCGATGAGAATTCACAAACATATTTGCATGTTAGAAGGAACCGGTGATATCCAATAAATGAGATGGCAAAAAACAAATGAAATGCGGTTTCTATGGGTTGACCTATACACAGAAAATATGAGGAAACAACAAAAAAAAACAGAAAATGCCACATGTTTTACAGCAGTAAATGGAAGACAAAGCTACCCGAGCAAATCTCCTGCTTGCCCAACATGTTTATTTAGACCATGCAAGTTATAGAGCAAGACAAAGCAGTTTATCAAATCCTTCTTGGATCAGGTAAACGGAAAGCTTTTCCCAACAAGTGTTCATTTTCACTATCTATCCACCTATCTACAAATAACTTGCAATATTATAAGTACACAGGAGGCATGTGTTAGCACCATTGTATATAAATCATGTTGAGTTTAAGCTATGTGCATTAAAATAATCAAAAGCCACGAGCCCCCCTAAGGGGCACCTCTTACATAGAATGGTAACACAATGTATACAGATGTAATTAAGAAGCTAAAATGGGTTAAATAGGCAATAAAGCCTTTCTGCTCTTTTCCTCACTGACAACACTTTGCAGAAAAGCTTTCAGTTCAGGATGTGCATGATTACACAACAGAGGAGCAAAGACAATAGAAGGGGAGGATACACACATTCAGCACAAGTGGTGGCTTTACTGGAAGTGTCTTGGCAGCTTAGGACAGGAACAGGGATACTGGTTTCCATGATGCCATCTTGACGCTGGAGAGCAACCGCTGGGCTGCCTTCCATGAGAAGGATGGGGTTGTTCTGTATAGCTTCGACTGGATGGAGATGAGAGGGAAACAAAAACAAGACAAAAACGCTACAAACATATAACCAGACAATGTCACAAAGAACATAAATTCCATCAAGACTATACAAAAATATTCTGAAAAATATTCTCAAATTTGACATGCTGACTTAAAGCTCAACTCCAACCAAAACTTACTGTGTTTTGGATAGACTAGGAAAGAGTAAGAACATTTATCTGGATTTTACTGGTGTCTGTGTCCCTATCCCAGAGACTTCCTGCTAAGTAATGAGATTTCTCTCCACGAAGGGCACATAAACAATACAAAACACATTTTAGTTAAATGACAACTTCTTACAAAGTTTTTACTGTCTTCTGTGCCTTCCTTTTGACAAGAACCAATTTTGTTCTTGCCTCGTACAAGGGAATAGGAACTTGGAAAAGCAATAAAACCCAGGAGAACGTTTAAGTCTTCCCCACTTTACCCAAAACTAAAAATAAAATACATTTTAAAAAAAAGTCTGGAATTACACTTCAAGAATTAGCTTTAAATATAATTTACTTTAAATGCCTTAACAGAAAACGTTCACCAGAGTAATTTTTATAATGTATGTTGAATTGGATGAGGGGAGGGGGGTGTGTGACTGGGGAGACCCATTTTCCTGACATCTGCAGCCTCTTATGAACATATATCTTAAAGAGGAAGGAAAGATCCTTTAAGTCTTAAATGTTGCCATCCCTCTGCCTTTATGAATGCTGCACCCTGTATGTAATAATAAACAATGTAAATACCTTTTTTTTAAATATGTTTCCTAGTGGGCACAAGACCACACAGCTCTGGATCTTGGGCAGCTGCTGCGGCTGCAGGAAGGTCTTGAAAATGCCCAAGCATTTGCTATGGTGGGGGAGACTTCACTGTTCTGGGAATTCCTCTGTGTTGTCGGCCGCCCAGCCACCCAGAATGCAAAATTGTGTGGTCACGTGAACAGCCGCTAGCAATAACTGCATGTAGAACCCGACAGGCTGATTGTACCCAAGTTAATCGATCAACTTGGGTACGTTCAGCCTGCCTACACATGGTCCAAATCTTGGCCAATCCATGCTGAACCGTCTGAGATTGAAACCATCTATGGACGACTTTAGACAGACAGCGGTAAATATGTACCGAAAATTGAGCGGCTCCTGCTGACTTTCGGTACGTGTGCCAGGCTTTAGTATGGAGCACTGTTGCAGCCTGTTATAATTTTACGTTAGCTTTGTGAACTTTGCTTGGGAAAATTGGCAGTGCAGAAACAAATAGGGGGGCACCAGAGGAACCTCTGAATATTCACAATGAATGGATATGCACAACGATGTTGCAAAGTAATTCATCATTTGCATTGACAGGGCACCCTTCAACCATAACTAATCTAATCATTCTCTATATATAGACAGTACAATACAATATGTCCTGTAATGTTTACTAACTATGTAGTCATGCATTATGTAGTCCTGAGATAGGATAGGCTGGTCTATGAGCATAATAAAAAAAATGAATGCAGGGCCTTAGAGCAACAGAAATATACTCTAAACGCGAAAAAAATGTTTCCAGACTTTTTAGTTAATTATGGCACTTTATGTGGTTGGATTTTTTCATGAATCATTTATTTATTATTTATGTTTTTTGTTTTTTTTTATTTATATATATGTCAATGAGTTATATCTGCTTCTATTTATGTATATCTCCTTTTGACAATGCAACACATATAAAATGTACCATATATATATATATATATATATATATATATATATATATATATATATATACACACACACACTCAATGGATATAAAAAGTCTACAAACCCCTGTTTAAAATGTCAGATTTCTATGATGACAAGGATAAATCATTTCAGAACTTTTTCCACCTTTAATGTGACCTATAAACTGTACAACTCAACTGGAAAACAAACTGAAATCTTTTAGGGGGGAGGGGAGTAAACAAAAAACAAAAAATAATGTGGTTCCATAAGTATGCACACCCTCTTATAACTGGGAATGTAGCTGTGTTCAGAATTAAGCAATTACATTCAAGATCATGTTAAATAGGAGTCAGTACAAACCTGCCATCGTTTGAAGTACCTCTGTTTAACACCAAATAAAGTTCAGCTGTTCTAGTAGGTGCTTCCCGACATTTTCTTAGTTGCATCGTACAGCAAAAGCTATGGTTCGCAGAGAGCTTCCAAAGCATCAGAGAGATCTCACTGTTAAAAGGTATCAATCAGGAGAAGAGTACAAAAGAATTTCCAAGGCATTAGATATACCATGGAACACAGTGAAGACAGTCACCATCAAGTGGAGAAAATATTATGCAACAGTGACATTACCAAGAACTGGACATCCCTCCAAAATTGATGAAAAGATGAGAAGAAAACTGGTCTGGGAGGCCTACAGCAACATTAAAGGAACTGCAGGAATATCTGGCAAGTACTGGCTGTGTGGTACATGTGACAACAATCTCCCGTATTCTTCATATGTCTGGGCTATGGGGTAGAGTGGCAAGATGGAAGCCTTTTCTTATGAAGAAAAACATCCAAGCCCGGCTAAATTTGGCAAAAAAACATCTGAAGTCTCCCAAAAGCATGTGGGAAAATGTGTTCTGGTCTGATGAAACCAAGCTTGAACTTTTTGGCCATAATTCCAAAATATGTTTGGTGCAAAAAACAACACTGCACATCACCAAAAGAACACCATACCTACAGTGAAGCCTGGCGGTGGCAGCATCATGCTTTGGGGCTGTTTTTCTTCAGCTGGAACTGGGGCCTTAGTCAAGGTAGAGGGAATTATAAACAGTTCCAAATACCAGTCAATATTGGCACAAAACCTTCAGGCTTCTTCTAGAAAGCGGACATGAAGAGGAACGTCATATTTCATTATGACAACGACCGAAAGCATACATCCAAATCAACAAAGGAATGGCTTCACCAGAAGAAGATTAAAGTTTTGGAATAGCCCAGCCAGGGCCCAGACCTGAATCCGATCAAAAATCTGTGGGAGGATCTAAAGAGGGCTGTGCACAGGAAATGCCCTCGCAATCTGACAGATTTGGAGTGTTTTTGCAAGGAAGAGTGGGCAAATATTGCCAAATATTTGAAATATTGTTCAACTGAGTTGTACAGTTTATAGGTTACATTAGAGGTGGAAAAAGTTCTGAAATGATTCATCTTTGTCTCATCTTTTTACATCACAGAAACCTGACATTTTAACAGGAGTGTGTAGATTTTTTTTATATACACTGTATATACAGTATATTTGGTACATTTTATAACTGGTGTGTAGATATAGTGTGAACTCTGTGCACAAGTTAGCCTGCAGTTTCTTGTTTGTGTTCTTACCTCCTTGCTGCAGTGCTGTTCCTGATCCCTTGACATGTGTGTTTGTCTGTGCTCACCTATGGGCATCATCTGCTGTTCTCTGGGTTTTATTCCCTTCCATCACTTCCTGGCCCGCCTCCTTGTTTGCCTGCCTATATAAGACATGCTCAGTCTAGGCCACTTTGCCTGAGCAACTTCCTAGTTGTCGGAGCTCCTGTGTGTTGATATTGCCTGTATCCTGCATTGACTACTTGTGTACCGACCCCGGCTTAGTTCTCTGACTGTGCTTGCTTTCCGCCTGTCCTGACCTCTGACCTCCTGACCTCATTGTACTCTGCTCCCGCGAGTGGTCTCCTCATCCTCAGATGGGCGTACCTGGGGGCCACGACCTGGTCCCAGCTTGTTGCAAGTCCATCCCCACCATCAGGGACTCTGGTGAAGTAGCAGGGGTGGGGCTTAGACTCCGCACCCTGGGGAACCCAAGTTGAGTATCTACAAGGGCTTAATACCACAGGTGCTGACACTCTGTCAGTACTCTGATATCTTTGTTTAGCACATGGTGTTAATTTGCACAATGTTTTTTATTATCAGACACTTTAGCACAAAGGAACTTTTTACTTTTAATAATGAGAAAATTGTTAACTAAAACCACTCTACTATGAGATAAACTACCTGAATCTGAAAGACAAACAGCTGTATGCAAAATAAGACATTTTCATTTTTGGATGTAAACAAGTGCAACATATAATTGGCTGCAAACAAGAACAGACTTTTGTGATATTTTTTTATTGGCAACTTATTTTGAGTTTGTAAAACAACCTTCAATTACAGGACCAAGGCTAGGTTCTCTGCATATAATTGCATGCTTTCGCGCACCAAAAAACACACTATACAGTTTCCCTGCAACAGCAATTTTGGAAAAGGTAAAGGGACCCTTTCCCTGCTTTTTCAGTAGATAGTGCAGTCAATTAATTTGTGCCTGTGCAAACATGGCCGCAGGGAAACTGCAATAGTGTGAATCTAGAGTAAGAATGGGGATGTAAGAAAAAGAAAGGAAAAGGGAGGGAATGTTGGGACAGAAGTGAAAGAAGAAAAGTACCACTCCATCAAAGCCCATATTCCAGCTAATAGATAACAGTGTACACTTCCACACACATTTAGTCAATAACCCCCATTTAGATCCTGAGCATAGGATCCTAGGAGGTCCAAAAGAGACACGGAGAGGATACTTGCACTTCAGCACTGTGGTTTCCTTAGAAACATTTAATGCCAGGTCAGACTTAGATTTGTATTTGGCTTAATTAAAAAAAAAACAGCAAGATGATAATGCCACAATCAAGCATATAGCAAAAAAAAAGGTAAAATGAGTGAAATACTACTGATCTCCGTGTTAAAGCAAAATCATTTGCATTTGTTTTAAGCTACCTGCATAGATTGTTTTACATATATATACTATTACAACCTGACATTACATTGTAAAACAATAAATGATTTTCAACTGCAACTACTGGATGTAATCTGTAAAGATCAGAAATGACATGGAAAATGGTTTTTATTGTGGCTTAATCCTGCTGGCTGTATTAAATGAGGACAATGTCTATAAATACCTTTGAACATTTTAACAAACACTTAGATATATTGCTCTGCCAAACCTTGTACAACACATAAGCTGTGTATCCT